GCTGCATGACCCAGTGTCAAGGAATAGTCCGAGAAGACCGGACAACTCGCCAACTGCACTGGCTAACCATTACCCCGGAACACGATCCGCAAAGCGATTAACATCCAGGTTCCCAATTACTGCTGGGTAGACAGAGGCAAATGGCGTAAAGAAACTTGCCCATTGTTTCACATGCCCGGGAATCGAACCCGGGTCCACTCGCTTGCAAGGCGAGCATGCTGAAAATTACACACAGGTCGCTACTACTACTTCTACTACTACTTTATTTATCATGGCCTCCATCCTCCCCTCATAGCCATTCCTTCGCCACCATTTTATTACCTTAATATTAAATATTCTAATACATAAGTAGCTATCCTAGCTGTGTTGAGTTGGTTGAGCCGCAGATCTATGCGGCATTCAGTGACTGTAGCCTCATAGTCAATATCTGCAACTGTTGTCGGCTTTGGGGCCGATGCTCTCGTTCCCCTGAGGCAGAGCAAAGTCGACCGAAGTAGAAAGAAGGACAGTCGACATCTCATCCAGGCTGTAACATAACTTCTAGGCTGCTGCTTCTGTTCTGAGATCACCTCCGCGAACTGGCGTAGAAGCATCTTGCACTTGGTCCCATCCCACCAGAGGTTGTGAACACTAGAGGAGTGAAGCTGCCTTGATCAACGTTCTGAATTTTCTCCCCATATGCCCTTCTCTTGTCGTTCTCGTTCCTCCTGTGTGCAGCACCAAGAGCTAGGTTACGGTGGGATCAAAAAACCGGATGTCAAAAAAGGCTCGCTGTCCCCGCGTCCAGAATCCTCGAGCACTGACGTCAACACGGGCTTCGTTGGATGTGTTTGAAGTCCTATGTTGGACTACTACTACTACTACTGTACTACCACCACCACCGCGACCACCAACACTACCACCACCACCATTACCACCGCCACCACCACCACCACCACCACCACCACCATCACCATCACCACCACCACTACCACCACCACCACCACCACCGTCGTCGCCGCCGCCGCCGCCACAACCACCACCACCACCACCAGTCGGAGGTCAGATTAACCTGCCTTTGTGTACGTATCAATAGGTTCCATTCTTGGCAAACGAAGATTTTTTTTCCAGATTTATTGGCATGGAAGTAAAGGATTGTTACCGATTTTTATGAGTTAGGAATTTTTTCCGGATTTCTCTTTGCGTTTCCATTAGAGCGAGAGTTTTTTTTTCAGATTTTTATTAGACTAACCTTATTCTAACCTAATCTAACCATACCTAATCTAACCATACCGAATCTGACGTAACCTAACCTAACCTAACCTAACCTAACCTAACCTAACCTAACCTAACCATTGATCTCACAAGTAAGGAAATGGAATGGGAAAAATCCGATATTTATATCGTAAAAAAATACAATATCGCCGACATTTAAGCAACAGACAAAATCCCTCGAAAAAAATTTACCCAAATGGATAAAATCACAAAAGTGAGATAATAAAGTGACAAATTTTCACAGATGAAGTAATAAAGCGGAGAAAATCCCTCCCGGCTTAGGCTCCTCCATGTTCTAATACCCTGAGAAAGAAAGAAAGAAAGAAAGAAAGAAAGAAAGAAAGAGGGGCGAGGTAAAGAGAGTGAAAGAAAGAGAGGGAGAGAAAAGAGAGATAAAGAGAGAGGGAGTGAAAGAGAGGGAGGGAGACATAAAGATAGAGTGAGGGAGAGAGGGAAGAGGTAAAGATAATGAAGGAGAGAGAGGGGAGAGATAAAGATAGTGAAAGAGAGAGAGAGAGAAGAGTGAAAAATAGAGAGAAAGAGAGAACTAAGACGCGTGGGTTGAGAGGAGGAAAAATACCAATAAGGACACGACCTTATTTACCTGTAGCTAATTAGTGTTTCCCACAGGTGTAATTATGTACTCAATTGTACTCAACCACGAGTGTAATTATGTACTACACTTTTCCTTACTGTAGTGTACTTCTCTGTTTTATTTATACGCTACAGTTGTGCGTATTCACTACATTTTAATTATGTACCCAAAATGTACGTACAGTACTTGTTACGCTGTACTTATTCATCTACCACTCTGTACACTACTTAAGTACAACAATTAATTTACTGGCTTTAAATGTACATCTATTACAATGTACTTACTGGATAAATTGTACATCTACACCATTGTACTACTCTGAAGTAATTACCCTAAGTTAATATGTTATTCCTGGTATCAAACGGCGTAATTTTATGTACTTTGTGTTGAATTAAGTCGTTATCACTGTAGTTAAACGTACCTTTATTATCTTGAAATAAATAAGCGGCGCCGATAAAGTATATTTCAGAGTGTATTTTTTTTTCCGGGTTGACCTTGAAATAATGAGGTGTGAGGATATATTTAGCGAAAGCTGTCAGTCGTATTAATCTGTATTTTTCCGTAACATTATAATATTTCTCGGTGATATATATTTGTGCTTAATACATAATGAGGATCATGGATTTCGATAATTTACGTATATTTCGCGAAAAAGTATTCCCTCCACCAAAGGTTTCTATTAATTCTAAACCAAACTAGATAGATGTATATTTCGCAAAAAAATTAAATAAATAATAATAATAATAATAATAATAATAATAATAATAAATATGGCGACCAGATGCTTTTATGAATTTCTCGAAAAATATTCTCTCAGATATTTTTCAAGAATATCGCCAATCAATATGAAATAAAAAGAATAAGAATTTTTACACTGATGATGAAAGGTAATCATGTTTATAATATCTCTGCAACTCTATTTTACCTTAGATGGAAAATACGAAGGAAAAACAAAGTAAAATATCACATAGAAAAATAATTCATATATAATCCCTAGTATTAATAATCCATCCAATTATATATAGAACATTAAAACTCAACTAAAACATATAATAAAAAATATTTATATAATCGCCATAATAATTTTGTCTTTCTTAGGCCGTCCAAAAAAAAAAAAAAAATAACTCGCCTCTTGCCCTAATCTTACTCACACACACACACACACACACACACACACACACACACACACACACACACTTACATCGTCTACAACCCCTTATTTAAAAAAAATGACATGTAAGTATCACGTACAATAAACTAGATTAATTAATTCCCCAGACAATTATTACCACAACAAAAGCTAAAATGGACATAAACTGAGTATATAAAAAGCTAAAAAGCTAAATGAAATGAGGTAAAAGAAATAATGATGAACTAAAAGAGAGATGGCACGAATAGATATAAAAGTTAAAAGAATAAGATAGAAATAAGAGAGAGGGATAGTAAGCTAATATGTATAAAAGCTAAACCCCCAAAAAGCTAAATTTAAATATTAAAGAAAAAGATAATGAAAGAAATTAGACGAGAAAGCGTAACAAAAAGAAGAAAAAAAAGCTATAAAACTACAATATACAGAAAAGCAAAATAGAATAATTTAAGGAAGCAATATAAAGATAAGGAAAGCTATAAGGAGAAAATAGCTTAAGTCAGATTAAATAGCTAAAGAGAGATTAAACAGATGGAAAATTGATAAGCAGCAACTGGGTAACGTATGGTTAAGTATGAAGCTAAAATATGTCCGATAGAATGTCGAACAATTTAGCGTTTTAAGGTTATATCGTTCTACCCCTTATTTAAATGCTTTAGCTTCTTAGCGTTCTGTATATGTAACGTTCAGTCTTTATATCTCGACTATGTTACTGTAATTAGCTTATGATCGTTTTAAATTTCTAACATTCTAACCCGTTTATGTTCTACATTCTTAACATGTCAGCTTTTTTGTAGCATTCTAGCTTTTAAATGTTCTTAACTTTAAAGCTTTCAACATTCTAATTTTTCAATATTTTTAGCTTTTAACATTCAGTTTGTTAAGATTTCTACCTTCCTAATATTCTAGCTTTTGTGATTCTTAGCTTTTGATATTCTAAGATTTTTTTTTAGCGTTCTAGATTTTAAATGGTTTACCAGCTTAATTCAGTTGACAGACACACACACACACACACACACACACACATCTTCTCAACATATTCCCTCTCTCTATATCAACACAAACAGAGAAAGACAAACACAATCAAAGAAACATCACGAACAACGATTTTTTTATGAAATTATATTTACCAGTATACGTATATATCACTATATCTAATAGCTATATATTACTATATCTAATAGCTATATACCTCACTAGCTACATATATAGATGCCTATTTATCCATCAACCTATTTATCTTTATCGATATGTATTTATCAATTTATTTATTTATCTTCCAGTCTTATATCTATCTATCGCGGCAACTACTTAATATATATATATATATATATATATATATATATATATATATATATATATATATATATATATATATATATATATATATATATATATATATATATATATATATATATATATATATATATATATAAATATATATATATACTGTGTGTGTGTGTAGATAGATAGATAGTTAGAAACTTCAGACTGTACCTGCCAGGATTACAGTGTCTACCTGCCGTAATTTCAGGCTGTATTTTACTTTTTAGAAAGAGTTCGTACTTTCCCCGCCAGACCTTCAAATTTACTGTGGTCAGACCTCTATAATTTTTCCCGAGAGAATGCACTCCAGTTTTCCTTAACAAACGTTCAGAAACTTTTTATTTCATAACTTACAACTTTCCCTGGCGGCCATACCTACAACGCCTGCTAGAAACTATGCCACATTTTCTCTACTAGACCTTACAACTTTTCTTAACTGATTTATCTATATATCCTCGAGAGAAAACAGACAAACTTTCCCTAACAGACATTAAAGATACTTTCTCTTCCAAACCTTCTAGTTTTCCCTCTCCTCCTCGTCTAAAGACTTTTCCTGTCAGACCCTGAACAACTTTCCCTATCAGGCCATGCACAACTTTCCCTATTAAACCTTCAAGAAACTTTCCCTAGGAGAAAGTAAGGTGGCCTTGCGGTCACTACCTGAGAGCAGTGGTCTACCTGGTTGGGTTCATCCTTGTCTTCCGGAGAGAGAGTTTGGGGTTCTTGTGCCACCTTTCTCTCACTCTCTCTCTCTCTCTCTTGCTTGCTCTCCCTCGTCGTCAGGTGTACACGTCAGTTAAGCTACCAGCTATGATACTGACAATGATGACGATGACGATGTGGTTCACTTAATGGCTCCTCAAGTACTGGAGGCCTCGTTAAACATAGATAAAAAGAAAACATCACTTGCTCTCTCTCTCTCTCCCTCACTCTCAGTCAAGTCAAGGTTTACAATCTATGCATTCTTATTTTTTTTCTCGATTTATCTTTCCCAGGTTCTATTTACTCGAATTATTACAACCCACTTCATGTGTTCATCCATTGATCATTTCCATAAAAGAAGGTTTCATTAATATGCGTTATAATCAAGCGTATATACATGTACATATAAGACTTTAAAGACCATATCAAGCATTTCAAAAGCGTACGTTCTTTTTTTCTATTAATCTTACGCACTCGCGGTCCTGCGGTTCGTAGCTAGCGAGATTACCACTTAAACGCACTCGGTATCACTGGCTTTACGAGACAGATAAATACATGGTAGTTATGGAAATTCTCCCCCCCGTGTGGGGAGTGATAGCGCGCACATCCACCCTTAACAAACGCCCAACAGGCACTGACCCGACACCAGCGGCCAATGTGGTGGCGTCACCCACGACTCAACTCAGATCCCGCGCCTGGCGAACCTCCGCCGCGCACTCTTCAACTCGCACTCTGCCACTGATGATTTTTGAAGGCAAATCAGCCTCGTTCCAGTGAATGTTTATCGGGAAATTATATGATCCTTAACTCAACTGAACCTGACAGCCTTTACTCCATTTTCCTCATGACCAGTTCACTCACACTCACATAATGAGATATATGAATTCGTAACAGGATTTTCTTATTTTCTTTCAAGCAAATTTTTTCATTCAGTTATTTAGACAATATTAATAACTTCACCATGGCTATACTCTTCAGAAGTTAAACTGATCGTAGCAGGTGTTAAAGACAGGTGGGTGACGATCAGGTACTTGATTAATTAACATTATGTATCATTATTTTCGTATTTGTATTTTTTATGCAGATTTCGTAATGTTGAAATTTTGTTTTAGTTAAATTGATTTTTCTCTACATATATCTTCTAGTACTATTACCTACACACCTTCACATAAAATACACACCTGCGCATCACCTACACACCTGCATATGACCTACACACCTGCACATGATCTACACACCTGCACATAACCTACACACCTGCGCATGACCTACACACCTGCACATACGCACATTACTCAAGAACACATTTTCATTCCAGAATAGAGAAGAAATTATTAATTTACATGTGTTAGAGAGAGAGGAGGGAGGATAAAAAAAAATATATATATATCTATAGAGAAAAAGGTGTATTTTTACTCTCTACAAATACACAGACCGAAAGAGAGAGTGAGAGAAAAAGAAAGTATTTGTACTTTCTACAAACGTGAAAACAGGAAAAGGTCTCTCAGCATCAGTCTCCTAAACGAGAAGTCCGAGAGAATAGACCCCGTGCCCTAAGTTCTCACCTAGGCGAGAGAAAGAGGGGGGGGGGAGAAAAGAGTTGAGAGAAAGAAAGGCGATAAAAGAAAGAGGGAGAAGGAAAGGAGATAGGAAATAGAGGGAGAAAATAAGAAAATAGAAGGGGGGAGAATGAAAAGAGATGAGAGAATAAAAGGAGATAGCAAAATATGGAAAATGAAAGGAGATGGGAGAAGGAAGGGAGATAAGAAAAAGTGGGAGAGATGGAAAAAATATGGGGAAAGGGAGAATGGATAAAGGAGAGAAAAAGAGAAAGAGAGACAGACAGAAAGGAGGAGAGAAAACAGAGAGAGAAGGAGAGAGAGAGAGAGAGAGAGAGAGAGAGAGAGAGAGAGATGAAACTGTGTCAGGGGGAAGTAAAACTGTACTATAGACTCATAAAACTTCATGATAAACAATTGAAACTTTATCAGAAACAAATGAAACTCAGTCCTAGACGAGAGTGAAAATGATCGTAGTGGACAAAATATTGACAAAAACTCTTAGTTTATGGTCATAGCGCTCATTTAAGGTAATAAATTCGTATCATATCATTAAATCTGTCCGGGAACTCACATTAGCGCTCATATATTTGTTTACTTTGTATCAGCTGTTCTGCTATTCGTCATCAACTGAAAACTGTTCCTGATTGGCTAAAATTTACAGGTGTCATATTTTATTCTTCTTTTGTGAGCGTTTGTTTGTTCTTGATTGGTTGAACTCTTATAACTCATACGTCTGTTCTTATCATATTTCTTCTTTCTGTCATGATCGTTGCTAACTTTTAACATTTGTCTCTAACATATTTACGTTCGTCGCTACAAGATAACATTTTACGCAGATGGCCTACAGTTTATTACCAGTATTACTACAGTTTTTAAATAATATTTTTTCCTTCTACGCTAGTCGCTAACATTTTTACATTCGATGCTAACAATTTTACGCTAACACGACCTCTATTTACATTCTACCGAAGCTTTTATGCCCAAAATAAGTTGAAAGGATGTGGGATCCTCTCTGTTTAAGTTCGTCGCTAACATTTTTACCTTAAGCGCTAACATGACTCGCCATTTGCATCACGCTACACCTTTTACACCCAAAGCAGGTTAAACGCACAATGGCTTCCCTCGGCCGTTTCCCATTCTTTTTTTCCTATTTTCACTGGTTTTAATTCAGTTAATTACTAGTCTTAAGTAGTGTGTGTGTGTGTGTGTGTGTGTGTGTGTGTGTGTGTGTGTGTGTGTGTGTGTGTGTGTGTGTGTGTGTGTGTGTGTGTGTGTGTGTGTGTGTAATAAATATATAATTTACCTGAATGTTTACATAGATAAACACACACATAACAACACTACTAAATAATAACCCACAATATAAATCATTCCAGGTAATATTCACAACACCAATTAGTACATAAATTACCTGAATGACTCATAACCCGGCCTCAAAATTAACCCAACTCATCCATCATCAATTAATCGATTTGTTACATAGGGAGTTCTTGGCTCAACTAATTTCCCTCTTTCGACAATATTGAATTCGAGGTTACAAACTTGGTTATGTAATTGGAAAGTTGTGTGAGTAGATCATTTAGTTCTTTAATTAAGAATCAAATAAAACGGAGAGTCAATTAGAGCAGATCTGAGCTAATCTCCCTCGTGGATTAGAAGGAGGATTAGAATTTGCGCGTTAAAACAGTGTATTAGGTTAGATTAAGTTCGGTCAAGTTTATGTTAGGATTGGTTTGTTTAGGTTAGATTTAAGTTGGTTAGGTTAGGTTAGGTTAGGTTAGGCTAGGTTAGGTTAGGTTAGGTTAGACTCTATGTTAAAAAAAAAATATGAATCTCTCCAATTTGTCTGTTTAAGAATTCGATATTTTTTTTTTATTATATGGCCGGGGAAGTTAATGACATTTTTCAAGTATTTTCTAACCTTAAGTGATTTTAAATTTGTTCGTAGATGACCAAGTACTTTGACATCAACTTAATTTCATAGTGATTATCATTAATTAGGTAGTAGCTAATTAGTGATATTTTAATTAAATGTTTGGGTTATTTACTTCTTCGTCTTTTTCGTATTTCTAAAAAATAATAAAGAAAGAGAAAGTAAAATAAATTAGAAAATAAATGTTAATTTCTCTCACTATAACACAAAATATTCAACTCGTACCACAAGTTCATAAGAAGGTCATCAGGAGTAATCACATAATGCTTCAGGTAGATACGCACGTGTGAGGGTTAATTATAACTCTCTATACCTTTATATCTGATAATAATAATACCTTCCACATGGGAAGTCTAATTTCAGTCGATTACAACAAATGTCATTTGCGTTTTAATGTCACAGGGAATAATATCATTGTAATAATTACCTAAACAGTGACACACATGAGTGATTTTTACACCTGGGATTTTTAATTATAAGGCTGGACATCTGTACACCTGAAGTCACTACCTGAAAGTATGGTTTAGTTGAGTTTAAGTCAGAGTTATCTATTCGTTAAGAACACGGGGGACTAATTGTATTATTTTTTACACTAATAAACAGTGACTCACACATATATACACCTGGGAAGGTTAATTATAAGTCTCCTTACCTGCATACCTAAAACTAACCTAACCTAAAATCGCAAAAAAAAACGTTATACTAAACAAAACATTTAATTTTAGACCACCGGAAATGATCTGATAAAGTTACCCGTTAAAAAAGAATAATACCATACATATGCACACCTGTGGAAAGACTAATTACCTTACTCCTTACCTGTAGACGTTAAATGAATACCAGAACAAAATACCATGCTATATTATTACCTTCAAGGCTACCTGATAGTGGCCTGAAGAAGTTACGTGTTAATTAATAATGACACACACATCTATACACACCTGGAGAGGGTGACTAACTATATGGGTTTCTATTATTACCAGAACAAAAGACTTAATTAGCCAGGAAGTCATCATATGGTGGCGGGTAATTATGTATTATTTTTTTATACACTTGTTGTTGGAGTCTGACTATGTATGGTAACACTGGTGTAGTATCGGTGTCTTTTGACCAGAGAAAGACAGTCAGAGAGAAATAATAGAGCAATAGTAATAATAATAGTAGTAACAGCAATAACAAAAACACCACCACCACCACCACCAACAACAACAACAACAACAACAGCAATAATAATAATAATAATAATAATAATAATAATAATAATAATAAAAATAATAATAATAATAATAATAATAATAATAATAATAAAACAGACACTGGAGGGCAACACGGGAAACATGCACGATCATAGGGAAGCTGTACACCGAGTCTCTATGTAATATTTCAGTAAAAAAACACACACACATGTAAACATCAGATTTGTGTGATCAAACACTGTTCAGGGCAAAATGCATTTCAAATCCCATTTCAAAACCTCTAAACAATAGACCCTGACTGACAGACAATATATTTAGAGGTGGCAGGCGTGGAGGTCGGTGTGCCTGAGTCAAAGCGATCCGGAAATTTATGTTTTCCTCGCCTAATCTAACGTAATAGAATTGTAAGGAGGAGAACCAAGGACGTTAAGACAACTTCAACACCCGGGTATACTGGCGTCGTGCACCGCTGCCAGACATAAGACACTAACTTACTACATGGTCCGTCAGATGAAATGTTTCTCCTAAATATAAATGGAAAAGCGAATCAAACTGGATATTATTAATTAAACTCTAAAGCTTAAAATGTCTAGAAAATGGTATCCAAACTACACAGAGGCTCTACTTTGATTAGATAACGTTTACTTAATGCCATTCAAGAGAGGACAAATGGCTGTACGAATCTTTACTGTATCAAAACCCTGAACTAACCCGCCATATATCTCTGCCCTGCGGTTAGCTTGGTGTTGACGTGTGGCATAAGCTCATAAGACCGTCGTAAACTTCTCTAAGTAAGTTAAAACTTTACCTAATGTATGAAACCAGACTATTTTGGCGACTTTCAGTATCCTGGCGTGGAATTTGAGCGACATACAACACTCTGGCGTGAAATTTGGGCGGTTTTCTGTTATATTCATGATGCCAAATGTGCA